TGTGACAAGAGACCTACCCTTGGCTTCTTGAGAGAAGTCTATCTGAAGCTTTTGGGGAGACTGACCCCACAATGGGAGGCAGCATTCACAGGTTCCAGGGATTAAGATGTAGACAGTGGGTGGGGGGAGGGGGCATTACTCTGCCTGTTACAGATGACCACCACACTGTTAAAGCCAAGAAAATGAAAGTTTGAAAATCCCAATACTACATAGAATCTGCAGTCTAAAGAGATTTGCTTGAATTTAATAAACAATGACCCATGAGATAATTCTTAATAAAGAAGCAGGGGCGCAACTCTGAATGATTGATTGATATCTTTATGTTAGCTACTCATTTGTGATTATAGTTTTATATATATGTTACATATATAGTTCTCCCTTAAGGAGCTATTCTGTTTAGATTACCCAGAGTTCTCATAATTACAGGTTAAAGTAAAGAATATGATGCATCCCCACTCAACTACAGCAGCTCTGATCCATGAAGCATTTAGAATCCAAATTCCTATCAGTCCCTGGGATGAGTCAGTCCTGACCCTTGTTGAGGTCGCCTCCACCTTTCAGGAGGGGAGGAAACAAATGTAATGTTAATGGAGTACAAGGGAAAGACAGAGAAGATATTATAAGAGATCACAAGGGTCTAAACTAGGGTGCTGGACATGACGGTAGGGCAGTTTTATGTAGGCTCAAACAAGAAATACTTGGTATGGTTGAAGGAATTGGGGGGATTGTGGTCCATTAACAAGCATGAAAAGGGAGTGACGAACCTATATTTAAGGAAGCATGTGTTGGTTTTCCCTGCTGTTGAGAGAAGATGTAGATTCTGTGGAGGAAAGATTGAGTTTTGAGACGCAGAATGTGTTCTTTCTCTACGTGTAGGTGAGTCCATCAGGCTTGGGAAAGAAGAGGTTGTCTTTCATCCAATACTGGAGAAAGTGCCAGTAAATGAAGTAAGAAAAATATTGAGATAGAGACATTTTGAGGTGGCTCTTTTCCAACAGTCTTAATATGATTCAAAATCATGAGGCATGATTGTCTGCAGAGAGCAAGACAGGTGGGTGGAGGCCCAAGTGCTTCAGTGCTTGTAGAGCCAGGTGATTTATTAGGCTGTGGAAAGTGTGAGGAGGAAATGGGACTGAGGATAGATAGTGTAAGAAGCACCCACTTGAAAGGTGGCCTTGCCTCTAAAGGAGCAGCACCAGTCTGAGAGTCCTTCAAAATAAGAGAAGCAAAATCAGGACAGGAAAAGACCATGAAGCATCAACAGAAGTGTATCCTAAGAATCTCACTGTGGCTTATAGTCATTATGTTGCATTACCCTTTGGGGGTCCTATCAGACAGAAAGTACTCAACTACTCCAGGGGGGCAGGGAGGTTATTTCTTTGCTTTCAGTAACAGAGACTTTATATTTTCTCTAAAGACTTGAATGGATCCTTCTCTCCCAAAAATAGTCAGTAAGCTAATTTTGAAAAAGAAATGCCATTTAGCATGCTGTATTGTGGTTTAAAAGTACTAATGTGTTCTGGGAAAGGAAAGTAATTTTGGATCTTATGTTTTAAAAAACTATTTGAATGGTGCAAAGTATGGATATTTTGTTTCTTTAGGGAGGACATGTGGGAAGGGTTTGAGGGTTTGAGGGTTTGAGATGGGAGAAAGCTCTTGCAGAGCCATCGATGTCTAAATTTTTTTTTTAAGATTTTATTTATTTGTGCATACAGAACTGGGGTACAGGCCAGAGACTCAGGGGCGGCGAGAGGCTTCACCAGAGACAGAGTGGGGAGCAGAACAGGCAGATCGACGAAGTACACTGCTGAGGGGAGCAGCGGGCGGGTCAGGAGAGGTCTGCCGCGCCATGTGGTCACCTCCGGGGTAGGCGGGAATCGAACTCATGCGGAAGTGGTTTCAGATTCTTAATGCTGTGCTTTAACCCGCTGCACCACCAGGGAGGGCCAATGTCTAAAATTTTTAAAGAGAATTTGAGTAGTTAAAAAAAAAGAAAACCCACCAAGGTATGTTGGTGTGTATCAAATGTGTATGTATCATGTACAAATGGTGTGTATCAAAAGTGATTTTATGCAACTCAAATAACATCAGAGTTAGCACTTGTTAGTGATTACGAGGGGAACAGGGCCCTCCCTGGTGGTGCCATGGATTAAAGTCCGCAGCTACTGCAGCCTGAGTTCCATCCCGGCCAGGGAGGTGACCTTCAGGGTGCAGAAGACCTCTCTGACCTGCTGCTGCTCCCCTCAGCAGTGTATTTGCAGTCATCTGCCTCTTCTGCTTCCCACTTTGTCTCTGGTTAGTCCTCTCACCAATGTATTTCTGGCCTGTACCCCAGTTCTTGTATGCATAAACAAACAATAAATCTTTAAAAAAGAGAAAGAGAGGAATATCAAGGAACAAATTCAAGCCGGAGGGTGACACTCATAGTAAACTTAATGGTAAAAAGTAGAGCTTTGGAGTCTCCATCTCTGACTCCCACCTAGAATGGGGACTCCTGGCAACTAACAGTAGAGGAGAGCCAGGCTGGGGGCAGGAGGGCTCTCAGACCGCTATGGCTTTCACCTGCACCCTGGTTTCCTCAGCTAACACTGTCTACTGTAGGACAGCATGCTGCCACGTGCCAGTCTCTTCTCTCACTTAGCTCTTCCACTGTTCCTTCCCTATGTAATCAAATCCTTTTAAGTTTTTTCATTTCTGTGTGTCCAACCTTTTAAGTTTTTTCATTTCTGTGTGTCCAAACCTGGTCACTACCATTACCTAGGTTTGCCCTTTACCATGATGAATAGTGCTTTTTTCTAAGAAACACACACTTAGTTTAATGTTGGAAATGGTTTACTGTAATATAAAACATTAAGAAGTTTAACAAGGGGGGGGCACAGTTTACCTCAACAGGCACTATAAAGATGTTTGATAACATTGTATATCATTATTAAAAAAGAAACTACAAACTAGCAATAACTTCTATGGATTGGTGATAATATTCACACATGAACTTATAGATGTATAAGGATGTTTATGCAGATATTCGTGGCAAAATGATTGGAAAGAACTGTGCAAAATTATAATCATTTGTGGACTGTGGAACCAAACTCAAAGGGTTCATCCTCTTGGTGAGTATCTCAGTTGAATAAGACAAGGCCAAGATGGACTGCACAAACAATTATTTCCTTATAACAAGGAGACAGTAAAAAATCATTTCCAAAGAAAGTGCTTCTCTGAGGAGACAGGTAAAGTTACATAATATTAGTTAATGTGGGAGTGTTAGCATGTGACCCTAGGGCATCCAGGACCCCAAACTATTATGTGTGTATGCTGTAAAAGGGATCCTGTCATCTGCTGTACCAAGACAAAGGAAGCAGACTCTTCGTGTGATCGTTGACAGAATTAGTGTGTATAGAGAAAAAAGAATATTCCTCAGAGTGTAAATGACCAGCCAAACAGACATGGCCCAAAGTGGGGCCAGAGAGATTCAAAAGCTTGTCACCAGAATAAGATACCTTCTGGCAGGAAAGAGCAAGAAAGTGGTGAGGCGGGTCTGGGTCAAAGGAGCAAAATCAAAGTCCAAGTCAGGGTAGCAGCAGCCATGAACTCTGCCCAAAACAGCCTCCCCTCTGTCTCTCAAACACAGCTCTTTCAAGAGCCCCTACTTGACTGTCCTCCACACATCTCCAAGTCCCTCTGAATCCCTGGGTTTGGAGAAGCAAGAGTCAGGACCCACCTGCTTCTGTTATACAGCTTCAGCTGACCACTCAGCTTCCTCCCAGTAGTTCCCCAGCTCAGGAAGTCTGGGTCATAGCACCCTGAGGCCTGTAGAGTGGTGTGGGGGAAAGGGTACCTCCCTACCCCAGAAGTGTCTCACAGTAACGGGACATTGCCTCTAGGGATGACTTTGCTGGTGTTCTTTTCTTCCTGTGCACACATCTCTGGTGTCACCTTATATTCTAATCTCCTTTATTCACAGGGACACCTTTTAGGTTGTTTTAGAACCTACCCTGAAGACCTCATTTGCAGTCACCTCTTGGAAACACCCTATGTCAAATCCATTCTGAAGGATGGACATCAACATAGGAATTAGGACTTCTAGACAGAGCTTGGGGGCGTGGGAGGGGACTCACAATCCCACCGTAATACAATGTGCAATGGTGTAATTTATAAGAAACATACTTTAGTCACGTGTTAGGCAATAAATATGTATGCTGTACCCTAAGAGCCAGTCCAAGATCATTCATGGGGTTATCTGGGACTTTCGAAGGTACTGTCATGGAAGCCTTCCATCTTAAGCATTGAGGTGGTTTAGGGCACATCTGCTCTTCCCAGTACACAGCTCTCAGACTGTAGCTGAAAACCTGCGTCTAGCAGGCAGACTTGCTTCACTTTTTCATCATCACGTCCGTTACCAAGAGAAAACTCGGGGTGCTGCCAGTCAAGTGGGGCACACTTGGAACACTTCTTTCTTCAGTTGGTCCTAAATGCTTAGAATCAGTTTTTGGGGTGAACAGAAGGCAGCCCTCTATGAGAATGGCAAGAGGGAGACGCCTCCAAGAAAGTAATTACGAGGCACACTTGAGCTACCGAGGCCCCCGCTGCTGTCAGCTGGCATTTTCCTGTGTTATCACTGGGCCCCAGGCAGCTAGGCCTCCGCCACACCTGGCGACGCCGATGACGCGCTGGCCCCACAGCTGCCTCGGGCGACAGGCTGCTCCGGCTCCTTTAAGAAGCTGACTCACGTGGATGCTGTGTTGTGTGCGCTCAGCTGGGGAGGGGGTGGGTCCTACAGCTCTCCGCATTGGGTGGCTCAGCACCGACCGCAGAGTTTGCTTCTTTGATTGGCTGTAAGAATCCGAGACGATGGGTCAGGGGCGGGGCGAGTTGCGGGGAGCTAGCCCAGGGTCTGCGGCTTCTGGGAGCGGTGGGCCGGGACGCGAAAGGGAAGAGGAGTGGGGGAGGGTGAGCCAGAGGAGGGGCGGGGCCCAGCGGAAGGGGCAGGGTGCAGGAGAAGGGGGCGGAGTCTAGAAATGAAGGGCGTTCTGGGCCAACCCGGAGAACCGACTCTTCGCGGGGCGGAGCTATGCTGGTTGATTGACACTGAGGCCCAACCAGGGAGAGGCGGGGCCAAGGCCGGGGCCTGACTAAACCTGGAGCTTCGGGTGGCTGAGGGGCTTCATCCCAGCCGAGGAGCGAAGAGCCGCTGGCGGCCGCGGATCTCACGGCGGCTCCGAGTGAGTGCGACGGGCGGGTGTTGGGCTCAGAGCCCGTGGGGAGCCGCAGAGCCCCTCCGGGTCGGCTTCTCCGAAACACTCGGGTATCGGCCCGGGGCGGGGGGCCGAGGCAGGAAGTGCCTCTTCCTCGCCTCGCTCCCCGCGGGG